AAGAAAAGGAAATAAGCTGTTGGAGAGATATGCATTTTAACTGAGATTTCACATGTGCATGAAGTGCAGAGTAAAATAACTCAGCTAAAAGTGCCCAGAAACAGGGGCATAACAGTTACAAGAGATACTTGGTAGTAGCTGCTTCTCATACTGTCAGAGAAGCTTTTGTTCTGGGCCAACCACTGGAAAGATATGCTCAGTCATCCTCAGCCTCTGGAGGACTGAGTCCCCCTGAACCACGGGGAAGTGTGGATCAGATTGTTAATTGCTTGACCAACATGTAGGGTTACCATAGGGTTTTGCTGAACATGTCTTCTTTCTGGGTCCTTCCATTTTCATCTGTGCGGTTTTTTAAAATATTAAAAAATGCCTGGGATTTTGCTCTGCTCAACATTGAAGTTATTTCTGACATTTCTCGGCTTCCCCTAGCAAGGAGCTGTTTGCAGGGAGCCAGGGAGGGTGATTGGAGGCAGAGACATCACATGGTGGTAGGACCAGCCCCAGCAACTGCATTCAGGTAAGTCTGCATGGGGTGGAGGCTGGAGGTCCAGGGCTTGGGGACTGTCAGTGCGGTGTGTGTGGAGGGGATGGGTGTGTGAAGGAAGGCGGGTGCCTGCCAGTGCTGGGGGAAGCAGTGTCCTGGGTGCACGGTGAAGCTGGAGCTGCAACAAGGCGGGGGGCCTTTGGGTGCCCAGGCCAGCAGCACAAGGGCCAGTGCCTGTACGTGCACGGGTGGGGCAGGGAGACACTGCAGGGCTTGCAGGGAGCAGGGGACTGCAAGTCGGGAGTGAGGGGCACCGGCAGGGCTGCGAAGAGCAGGGACTTGTGTGTCAGGAGTGAGGAACACCAGCACGGCTGGTGGGGCTGTGGCTTGGGAGTGAGGGACCCCCAGGGGGACAGGGCTGGGGATGGTGGGTCAGGAGCATGTGGCACAGGCAGTGCCAGGAGGCTATGAGTCAGGAGTAAGGGGTATCAGCAGAGGTAGGCGGGCTGCAGATTGGGAGTGAGGGGCACCAGCATGGTCTG